GGATCCTTGATCCATCTCATATTCATCTCATATTACTGATTTACTGGTAGTCTCGAAACTCTACTTATATACGAAAAATAAGTAGCGTAGTAGATTGTTATAGCAAATATACGTTTGCTTCATCGACAATCCCACCAAAGAATATGATATGACCTTCCTTGAAATTCACATCTGCCCCATGACCCAATGGCATTCGTAGCAATGTGGCCGATCGGTTAATGTATCAAGCCCACATGATGCATTATCACGGTTCGACTCCCGCTAGGCTTGTTGATAAGACCGATTCGAGGTCGAAACTGCATTCCACTGGTCCCTGGATCAGAATAACTTTTGGGAAAGCAAGGATATGTGAAATAAAAATTGAATCATTGTGGGAAAATGCTAATACCAGTTCTTCACCTTAAACGAAATAGAGTGAATACCTCTCATTACTGATTTACTGGTAGTCTCGAAATTCTATTTATACGCAAAACTAAAAGGAGTCGACCTGACAACACGACTAAGTTGTGAAAACAAAGCCAGATCACATTTATAAATCGAAAAGAGGCTGCGATCAAAATAGAGGCCACAACCTTTTGGCATTCGTATCGACACTAATTTTTGCTGAATATATTCTTGCTCTTACATCTCTTTTATTCAGGATCAGAATATCCGACTGTTCAATCTGTCCGGATTGCCTCGATCTCAGGCGATCTCAATTGCTTTGAATCATCTCACTCTCTGGACTTATGCCAGCCCTGAACACAACGAGTATGTCTCTATTCGGAATTCCGCTCTGGTCGGCCATGTAATGGCACCTGGAGCTAGCATTTCGTCTCGCCTTGAAACAAAGAGCTGCACCGCAAGCTGCTTGGCCGTCTATCTACACACGCTTCCAACCAACCAACAGGCCGTACAGTTTTACGAGCGACGCGGCTTTCGTTTGCATCGAAGGACTTCCAGTTACTACATTATTAATGGCCGCGCGAAGGATGGTTGCTGTTACGTTAAATACATCAACGGAGGCCGCGGTCAAGCCACGCTCCTGTATCCTTTAAACAAATATCATCACGCTTATTGCTTTCATTCGCATGGTGATGCTTTAAATTCTGCTAACTCTTTCATATCTCAACATTTTCGCTTACACTCAATGTCTCTTTTGGGAAAAGGCTCAATCTTTAGGCTAAATTTAAAAATAGTTGCATAAACTT